GGAGTTTCGGCGAACGCTCATATAGGGGTTAGGTTTAAGGTTTTTAGGGTACGGTTATGAATGTTTAAAGGCTCGGTGCTTAAGAATGCTGAGGAAGGGCCTGCTTGCCTTAAGGAAAGTAAAGTAGAAGAGGGGTGGATAAAGTCTGTGATCATGAGCTTTTTTGGTGTAGAACTTCCAAACCTAGCACAGGAGCGGCAGGAGCTTGAGGCTCTGTGGGAGCAGCGCGAGGTTGCACCTGGGGCTTTCAGTGTAACGTAGTGGGGTCCATGACAACCCAGGGAGCCCAATATCCTTGATTACGAAATATTCCGTAGATCATATCAGGGATGCTAGTATTATTTACGGTGAATTCCTGAATCATTTTGGGCTCTGATGAGGGTGTAGGCTTGGGGGCCAAAGTAATTCAAATCGAGCTGCTGTGGCACTACTTTGGTGACTGTCTTCCTGTCTCATTTGAAGCAGTCGCTTGTGATTTGGGGGTTGGCTTGTTTATAGTTTCTTGGTGTTGTTGCCCCCACACCTCCCTCTTACAACACTGGCCACCTGTATTGAAGGATGGACGCACGTGCATTCATCCAGGACAGCTACATGGGGGGGCTTAATTACGAGAACCACCAGAAAATGGGCCCGATGTATTACGCAGCTAGCTTTACCATTTGCCTATTTGAGCTCCTCTTCCGGCGATTCTTCCAAAACGTGGGATTTCCGGCCAAGCCATTTTTAGGATGGCGAGGCGCAAACCATGCAACGGGCATATGCTTGCCGAGTTGAAGCTGATGAAACCGTCCTTGGTTTCCCGAGATTTCCGTGAAGACGGGAAAATAATAATGAGCAACCACGAAGCAGGTTTATCGACTTGCGATCGGATAACTCCAACAAAAAGTGAATCCAAACTTGTCCTTGACATACCTTGGCAAAAAGATCCCAATCACTTCTTCAACTTACTGGTGGTTGGTAAGGAATAAGGCAATGTAATCCCCAAACAAGTTATTCTCTACTACTCCCTGGTATGTAAAGGCAATGAAATGCTGGGGTGGCCTGGTGGCACATTGTGCGGGTTTCGCCATTGTGGCGAGCCTGGCGTCGCTTCAGGACGCCTGCTTTAATCCTCTCGGGGGTTGATAAGGGATATGTTGTATATGTTGTAATTTTTTTTTTTTTACAGGGTTCAGGGGTTTTACACTAATCACGGAGAATCAAATGGAGAAGAAGATGGGAAAATGGAATGGCAGCATGTTAATAAACTCCCCCCTATAAACTCCCAGACGCCCCTAAGAGTGAAAGCCCCCAATGTAGCACCATTATGGACCATTAGATTATGTTAGTTAGAGTTTTTTTGTAGGGAGAGTGGGTGGGTTTAGTACTAGGGTGATGTGATTAGTTGGGGTGTGTGGTTTCTCTAAAGCCAGACCTCCTAGCAGGATCGAAAGAGTAGAACCCCCCACCTTGTATGCCCTACTTCTGTTCTCCTTGGGACTTAGCTTGGACCTTAGACCCTTAACCCTTTGGGATTCCCTTATACTCCTATTATACGCACCTAAGGGTTAACCTTTAGTAGGGGTCCTAAGTGCTACGTAGTGTTGGGGAAGTTCTAGGAGCATTCAGAGGCGATCCGCTTCTAGATCCTTCCAAGGGGTGTGAGAATTAGCTTGCAACTTGCACCACTGGCCTGAGAAAGAGGGGGATGTGGGGGTCCATGTTAAGCAACAGCATGGACTCTTGCCATAACTTCAGTGGGCCCCTTGTAATCATCCTGTGGCCCCTATCTATCCTAAGGGTCCCTAAGGGCACCCCTAACTCAAGGACTCCTTGCATGGAATCTCCATAGGCAGGTTGCAGCTTAAAATCCCTATTTTTGGTCCCATTCATACCATGGCTCCGACCTGAAGGTGTTCAGTAGTGGGTCATGCTCACATATGAGCTCCTTTGTGTGCAAAAGCCAGTCATGTATTGGAAATTCTATGCGGGAGGTATTGTTCAGGTGTCATGTTTGTGCGGGAGTTTAGTCAGAGAGAGCATGAAGCACTGGTGATCCTCGTGTTTCGGGCTGAGAGGTCGAGATTGGCCTCGTACATCAACCGTCCCTTACCAAGGTAATGGTGCATATCGCAAGCACGTAGACGTAGAACAATGCTTGTTAGTAGTGCACGGGGACTTGTGCTGATCTGTGGGGAGTATACATTAGGAGGACCCCCCACCCTGTAATAGTGACTATAAGGGATACTAGTAACTATATTTATACCACTATTACAGGGTGGGGGGTCCACCTGAAGTATACACATGTTTACGAGTGAGTGGGCTCGTGCTGAGGGGCCTTTTTCGGCTGAGGGCTTATAGAAGGAAGGGCCATGGGCATCATCAGTACAAAGAGTACTACTAGGAGTAGTACAAGCGAGGTGAATTGATAGCTATAGGATCCTATTGTGGTAGCTGGGGTTGCCAGAATCCCCAAATCATTTTACTTGTCTATCAACATTCCCTTTGTATTCTTCTTGGGACTACCAACTTTCAAACGGTGGTACCCTAAAACCCAAACCCTAAAGGACTCGGAGCCTTTTGCCAGCTCAGCTGGCATGTCGCTCCTTGTGGTTCCCATCGCCCTTGTCCTGGTCACTGTCCTCTACCGCTTCTAGGTGGAACTTTACTACACCTCTGAGCACCTGCTACTTTTGTGGGGTTTCTCTGTTTTATTTGAAAGGAGCTACAGGTGTAAATGCTAAACTTTTAGTAGGGGTTGACAGAACAACCCAGGCTTGGCAGCATTTGCCAGGAAGAAGATCAGCGAGATGCTGGGTTGCTGTTAAGGAACTTAAGATAAAAATATCATCATGGGTATATTTAGCAAGTAATAGGGTTTCCCCAATATGGTAACTTGGATTAGGGTTTTTTAGCAGCAGCCCAGGATGGATGATGGTGTGGTCAGCCGCGGCGAGGCTTTGTGGGATGAGATCTCAGAGGAGGGAGTTTCGCAACATAACCCTTACATGCTCATTTCAGAACGATCCCTAGGATCCACATGTATCCTTAAGACCCCCAGGGTCTGTGAGAAAACACCCCAGGAGGCTGAGAATGAATCCCTTTGCCTGGGGCTTTCGTTCGCGTCCGTCCGCAGCATCAGCTTCTTTGCTATCGGCGCAGTGCCAGACACTCACTTCCATGTCTTTCGGTCAACCTTAGGGATCCCTTGTGTTTTTTTGTTGGGGGTGGGGGGTATTGGTTTCCTTAAAGAACTGCAGTACTTCCCAGGGGAAGGAGTGGGGACTAAGGTCTACTCCGATGTTTCAGAAGCGAACTGGCACCGCGGCTGGATGGTTTTGTTCGCGGTGTCTGTGGCTTCCATGCTCTTGGGAGTTGGAACCTTGGCCCATGTCAGGAGTTTTGCGCTACGGTATTACAGCCACACTACAACTTTTTTTGTGTCAAAAGAACGTGCTGACAAGGGACCTTCATGCTGAAAGAGAAGATGTTCGGTGGACATGGCCATGGCCATGGTCATGAGAGCCACGAGCATGATTCCAATGAGCATGGCCACCACGAGCATGAAGAGACCCCCGAGACAGACGAAGATGACATTCGCCTACGGGCTTTGCTGATCCTTACGGAGACCTTCATCATGACCCTGAGCTCAAGACTCGTGCTGGGGATTGGGTTCGGGTCCTTTGCTCTTCATCTTCCGCATAGGTTACAAGAGATGTAAGAATTGATATTTTCGACGTTCAGGCTGACAAGGGTGATTCGTTTCCACATTATCCTATCTTCACAAACTCCCGAAATCACGCAGGCCAGCCTCATTCTTGAAGGAGCTACAAGGCCTGCAAGGGAGTGGTACAGACCCCCCTTCCCCGTTGAGCTCTTGGACACTGAGCTTGAGCTGGCACTGCAGCTGGCGCTCGCTCTCTCAAGCTCTCTCTATGTCTGTCTCTGTGTCTGTGTCTGTCTGCTCCCTCATACTTCAGTGGAGAGATTCTCAGGATGTTCTCGTGGGGTATGCTCTCGTGCGGCATTGCGATGGCGAACGCATTTCTTCCGAAGTACGAACACCATTTGATCGGCCACCTGATCGTGGCACTTGTTGTGTCTGCCCTGTCACTGGGCCAATGCTGCTTGCAGCTTTTTTCAATCTCTTCAGCCTGTCAGGGAGAAAGCTAGTTTTTCTGTTCGGGTCCCAGTGGTGGCCAAGGTCATGTTTGATGCTGCTCGGCCTTGACAAAGTGGCAGACGCGCTAAAAGCCGGTGGCAACGCAGAATCGGCCATCCACATCATCCAGCATATTATCCTTGCACACGGCCTGCTCATTGGCATTAGCTGGGAGGTGTGCTTCGCCCTCAGCATGCATCTGGGTCAATGTTGGATATGTCTTTCAATGTCCAGGAACATAGTAAGAACACCGCATCAAACCAAACAACTGCTGTCATCAGTATAGCTTCAACGAGACCAAAAGTGTTATCTTATAACCTTGATGGCTACCTTCGCAATATGTGCAATTGGGCCATTTTGCTTGTCATTGTTGTTGTCATACCTGCTACTCACCTGTCCCACCAACGTCAGTCAGGCACGCCATCAGTCATGTCATGGATGGTCCGAACGTTGATATCTACCTGGCAGTCTTCCTGTGCCTTGTGGTGGTGCCCAGACCATTGCTATGGGAGTTTTTGTTTTGATGCTACTGTGTACCCTGCTTGAGTCTTGAAATGGCTGAATCCTAGAACTAAGATGCTTAAATTCTCAACCCTAAGCCCAGCTGATATTTCCCCAACCATGAATCAGGTGCCGGCGTACCGTCTCTTCATGCTCCCTGAGCTGAGGGTTCGTGAGGCCAAGATCAAGAGCCACTGAGAGCTGGGGAATCATGAGACAACAGACAGACTCGGCGCCTTAGGTTCGCCAGAGCAAAAGTAAGAGGGTGCTGTGCTTCGGGGTCCTGCGCACTGTATGCGATACAAGGCTTGCTATCAGGACATGGAGATAAATTTCTGGGAGTATCTCTCATTAAAGCAGTTGTTATAGATCAAAGATCAAGGCCTGTTTGCCTCCTTAAAAGATGGGTCACGTTAGCGTCCTACTACTGTGTGATATGTGGCTTGTAACCTTAAAGTTGCTACTCACCCAATGGGTTGTTTAGCATGCCCGTCCACAGAAGGGGAGCATAGGCCCCAAAATGCATGATGCCAACAGTTTTAAGAATGACTACAGCACATAACGCCTTTACACGGTAAAGAAGACAACCGCAGAAACTCCCAATGTGAACCTTAGCCTCCCTAAAGTAATTGCAATGTTTCTCTTCCATTCCGGCTCTTCCCCTGCACAACCTGAAGCCCTGAGCCCTACAGCCCTAAACCCTAAACCCAGCCAAATTGCTTAACCTTCTGAGGCTGCTGGCAAGGTTACAGCTGGAATGCAGATGGTGCAGGCCAAGTTCGGGTTTGTTTTTTTTGGTGTTTAGGTTTTTAGGGTTCAGGGTGTATGGATTTGGGGTCTAGAGTTTAGGGTTTAGGGATTCAGGGTTGTGAGTTTAGGGTTTAGGGGGGGTTTGGGTTTAGGGACTGTTCATTCAAGGACTTTGGGGCTCATGGTCCGAAAGCCCTGTGTCCTAAAACCTCAGACATGAACTTTGCGTTCCGAATGTTACAGGGGTGTTCCCCAACAGTGCTGAGGCTAAGGGTTCTGGGGCTTATCAGAAATCTTCCGTTTCGAGAACATAGTTTGACTGTACGTAACAGTGCATAAACGCAAATGTTTCATCACAGCAGGGAGAGGCCACACGCAAACTAGACTGGAACGGTTGACGCTTCATTGTTCTCGTTGCGTCTGCTTTGCCTGTCAGCGATATCTCGGATGTTGTTTTGGAACCCAGTTACCTCAGCCCTTCGGGCAGGTTATGCTGCCTGTGACATGTTTACATATGTTCAGCCTCTGTTTGTCACAAGTCCTGTTTGCTCAATAGAGCCAAGATGGAGACATCTTGTATACCTGTCCCTTTGTAAGCGTGTCCTTCCAGTCCTTCTGGATAGTTCCAGATTGGCGGGTCAGGGGGACTTAGTAAGAGGTTAATCATGGGGCTAACTAAGGTTACTATATGCCTTATAGGGGTTACTTATTAACCTACTCACGAAGTCCCCCGCTCCAAGAAGGATCAGTCCCTCCGGCCTTATGCAGCCGAGACTTCCTTCGACCCTGGTCAACTTAGTGGCGCTGAAGGGAGGGTGGGGGAGTGGATCCTAAGAATACCCCCTCCCCTATATATCTAGGGTTGAAGGTTCAGACCCAGGGTTGAAGGTTCAGACCCTATATATATATATATCCTAGACTAGTCCCTATATTCACTCCCGCACTCCACTCCCCCTCAAGCACCAGTAAGTAAACCCTGAAACTTTAACGCTTTGCTGTACGACCTGCTTCCAAGCGTGTGCTAGTTACTTGTCAAATACATACGGGGCGTTCCCTAAAATGAGGGGTTCTAATGTGGAGGTGCCCATGAGAAGGATTAGAGTACATTATGGTCTCTATTGGGATCTCGCTATTTATGGACACCACCATATTTGATTTCGTTTTGTGCGAGTCAGCCAGGCCGTTATACCTTCACCCCCCTCGCCAAACCCTCAACCTTAAATGACACAGTAGTTTCCAATTTCTCCGCATTATCCTTGTATGCCTCGCTTTGCCTCGCTCTCTCTCTCCCTCTCTCTCTCTCTCTCTCTCTACATATTTATAATTGTACATCCGTGTATAATTTGATATAACCCTAAACCCTCGCTTCCAGCGATCCAGGCAGCGATCGAAATCTTCCGCGAGGAGGGTGCAAGGAGGCGCTAGCGCATTACTTCTGTATTTTGAGGGGTTTCTCATAAACAGGGCATCTGGGAGAACTGGGATAGATGAGGACTAAAACAGAGTTTAGGTTTCCCTGTCAAGCATTCCTCAAGGTCAATGTGAGAAGTTCTCGGCCCCCCTTCATGTTGTAGATATTCTGTAGAAACTAGCAACACCCACTACCCATCTATGCATGCAGCCGCACTCTTGAGGAATTTAGACAGGGCAGGTAAGCCTCGCAATATGCGGTTCAGAGGCTGGGTTGCTGTTAAGGAGTCTAATTTCAGCTACGATTTATAAGGAAAGCCTAGCATCATATCATCTACGGTGTAACCCTATTACGAGAAATTAATTTCACTCTTTGACCTTAGCAGGACCTGAGACCGTTAACTTTTTGTGGCTCCCGTATATTCCTAGTATTGGTGCCAAAAAGTTAACGTAGTGAGGGGGCAACTACCACCTCAACCCTAAACCCTAAACGGCATGGTGTTAAGTCCCTTAACAGCAACCAGAAGGAGGCCAGGGAGGGTGGCTATATGTACCTTACTGGTGCTTAGTAAAGTAAAAGGGAATACAATCCGCATAATATATAGACCCCCTGAAGTACATAGAATATAGGGTATATGGGGATCTTATTAGATATATATATATATCAAATGCCACATTCTATCTACTTAAGGGGGACTATAAGCTGGGCTTAGGTCACACTGATGTGATTCAAGTCGACTGTAGATACAGAAGCTTGGGCCTCACCAGCACAGCAGGAGAAAAAAAAATCTGCCAAGCTGCCAAGTGGATTTCAGATCTTGCTCAGTGATTAGCTGGCCTGTTGATGACCCATTGGGCATTCTCAATGGCTTTCCATAGCCTGTGCACAGGCAGGCGTTTGGGGCAGTTGGCCAAACAAAAACTTAACCTTTGCTCAGAACTTACTATGTGTGCCTTCAGCTTCCCCCAACGAGCTGAGCATTTTCTTGATAGGAGCTGCTCTAACTTGAGAACCCGTAATATATTGTAATACTATAATATGATATACTAATGATATATAACATACCGTAATATACTATACTGCATAGTGAATAATATGCTATTTTACGTTGGGTGTGGCAGAAGCCCGAAGTCAGTAGGTCCTTGGAGACGGGGCTATGGGAAGTTGGGTTCAAGCATGGTGGCTTTGTTCCTTGTATCTGTGCAGGGTATTGCTATGAAGAGCCCCACAAAGGGCCCTACGATTATTGTCTTTTACAGGCGGTCTAAAGGGGTGGTTTAGGATTTAGCGTTTTGTGAATCTTAAGGGTTTAGGGTTTAGGTTCCATGGTTTGTTTTTGGGACCTAAGCCCTAGGCCCTGTGAGCGCGCAGGTTGGAAGCTGACGAGTTCATCGCACTGTCAGCACTTGCCTCAAATGGGGTTTCTCCAAATTAGAGGTACTTTTAGGGGGATCCCTACAAAAAGAAGGATAGTAGTTGGGTCTATACTGGGGTCTCTCTATTTAGGGAACCTACCGAATGGGTTTCTTTCGAGTTTGCCCGTAAAGAATTATTGATAGCCGCATCACTGCATACTCTGGGGTTTAATCAATGCTTCACTGAGTCTGACCCCAGCCGTCATACCGTGGATGATGCGAAGCGGTTCGCGAATTCTCAAGTTGCTGTGGTGTATTGCCTTTTGCTGTGCGAACATTGTAGCGCGCTATATCTTATTGGGCTTTCCAGCCGAGCCGATTGCATGGCTCAAGAAATGGACATGGGAGTACTTTTTGGACTTGGGTTCGAGCCATTGAAGGTTCAGGGACGCACGTATTACTGTACCTACTATGCAGGCCGTAGCTTCAGGATAAGTTGCATCAAGGGAGCTGGACTTGGTGCCGGTGGGGCAGGGCTGTCTGTGCCAGCGGGTCAGGTCTGAGCCGTGAGAGAATCCTTGACCTTTTATTGCGTGTTGGCATGACAGGTAGAGCTTCTGCATGCTGTTACACGAAATTGTTGCTGCCTGCACACCGCGGCACGCCGTTCAACTTGCTCAACTTTGCCGGATGATAGCTGGGATCACATACTTGGGCCTTGTTTTGAGAAACCCTACCTGCCAATCTCATGAACCAGCTGACCTTCTGTGACTGACTGTGGCCCGTGCTGGGGGACAATAGCCTCCAGCCAGAAGAGCACAAACCTGGAGAACTCCACTCTTTGAATCTTTGTGGCCGTCCAGCTTGTGGGCCTTGCAGACTTGAGACCACGGTTCCCCTTTAAAGTCCCAGTGACACATCGAGAGCGACGGTTGTGGAGTTCACTCCTGCCGTGCCCAGGAGTACCTTCTCAACATTGGAAAGGCAAAGAGCGTCGGGGCCCACGGGTCATCTTGATGGTAGACCCCAATAATTTCGATGGACGCGTGCAGTGTGTCATACATAGCGCTTTAAGGCTCCCTGTATCTTTACGAAGGTGTCTTTCGGTCCATCTTCGGTTTAAGGAAGCCACGTTGTTTTTGCATGGCTCTTAGGAATGGCGGCAATGTACTCTACTCTCTGATGTTCTGATGTATCGTAGCGGCTACAGTACGGAGAGCCAGCCTTCTTCATCCTTCTTCTATGTCTTGGGACTAATGCTTCTCAATGGTCCGGAACCCTATACACCCAAACCCTCAAACCCTGAGCCAGCATGTCCTTTCACTCACAGACCGCAAACCGCTCAACAAATATTGCTCTCTGCCCAATTTCCTGTGCCAGACCCAGTACTTGTTTCGCTCAAACTTGCATTTTCTCCTCTCTACGTCAGGTCGCCTGAGCTTTGGTGGCTTTATTGCTTTTAGCCGGGGTCCAGTGCCGAACCCATCTAATTGAAAGTCATGCTATCTCCGGGCTTCATATTCCGAAACTACCACACCAAACGATCCCATCAAAAAGTGATCTTGGACGGAGAGGGCCAGGGCTTTGCTTTTGTAGCATTTTCAGCAGTTGAGTAAATGATCATGAGTCATCAACCTCCCCGCCACAAATTTGCCTCTCATGCACTCACAGTCACAAATCAT